GAGGTTGTCTATTGCCTGGCCGTGTAGATCGGGGGTGGTAATGGACCTTTTGAGATCTGGTAACTTTTTGGGAACCATGTATGGTTGCTGTCGTTATCTGGTGGGAGTCTTTGAAGGAGTTCTTGTTCTGATCGTTCTATCTTTTGCCAGATTCTGCTGGCCAGGGTGTGCAGCTGCTGGTTGATGGGTTTCATTCTCAGGCCTCTATGTATCTCGGCTGTGGTTCTGGTGAAGGGGTATCTTTCGCCTGTGACGAATCTTAGGGCTTCATTTTGAACCACCTGTAATTTTAATATTTGAGTGGTGCTCATAGTATGAAGAGGTATTGCTGGGTAAGTTAATATCGGTGTGATAAATGATGTCACTAGGCGGAGTTTTATTTTCTCAGGAAGCGCTTTGAAAAGCTCTTTGATACACTCTGTACCGCCATCTCCAACCTACACAGACTACCCCTGCCTTCAGCTGCTACCCAGTCACCCCCTCTTCTGGTTCGACACAAGCTGGTAGCCCCCCCCCCCCCTATGTGCCCCTCTTGCTCACGGCCCCATCTCTAATGGCAAGATAGCCGACATATTAAGATTGTATCCACTTTTTTGCATTTAGTAACTATATCAGTTCTCATGTACAGAACCAAATACACAATGTGCTTGAATATTTCTCACGTAAATGTGAATAACAAAGTGTGAGGCCAGACATACTGCCTCACACGCCTATACTCACGCATTTGTGAATAAGTTACCCTTTATGTATAGAACTAAACAAATAATGTAATTGAAATACTGTGTAACATTCAGTGCCATAATATCCTGACAACGGGGGTTTAATTATTATGACCCGTTGTAAACTCTACTCTGTAATCCTTTTGCGCTACCGCTCACAGGATGAGTGTGGGGTGCACAATAAAGTAGCCGCTGTAAGCGGCAAAATCATTGATCACGGCCTACTCCACCGCCGTCTGGCATCACTGCTGGCGTGGCACCTACCGAGCCTGCCCCGGTGTGCCCAGCTGCCCCTGTGCCACGTCCCGCATCACCATGACACGTGGTGCCTCATTCTGTCCACCCACCGCAAGCCGCGCCTGCTCATGTCTCTGAGCTGTCTCCACCAGAGCTCCCTATTGGACCCGAGGACACCATCCCCGGCTCCCCGTCCCCCACCGGCATGCCGGCACCTGGGGCCCATCCACTCCAGTTCTCCGCATCTATGGACCACCATGAGGACATGCACGTGGACAACGTATCTACGCCAAGAAGGATGTCCCCTACCAACCTCTCTATGTCCCCCTTGAAGCCGACACTACCGACGTACATGCCATTACAATTACACTAAAAGGTATGTCCCTCAATATTGTCAATGCCTACGTGCCTCCCTCCACATCTACTGTACCTGTACTACCACAACATATCACCTCCACCCCCACCCTCCTTTTGGTTGACCTTATTGCCCGACACCCCAGTTTCTGCTCTTAGGGTAACTCCTGACTTTCATACCTACAAACCACTGATGACCCTGTTACCAACACCTCTTCCCTCCCTGACCAGATATCCCCCCTCCTAGAGACAGGCCTGGCACTTGACATTATTAGGGACCTGCCACGCTTTGCCATAAACAGATAAATTGTGCCGGGAATTTTCCCTCCACACACACTCATCATTCTGTCACTATATGTAACTTGCTGACAAAACCCATGACCCTTCAGGCTTTTATGCCCTTAATGCATGAGTCATGAAAGGCAAGCATGAACTACGCATGCTTCCCAGATGGGCGCTGTAAACGCTTTTGCTCTTCACCTAGCACAGGATGTAAGGGGGTGCCCAATAAACTAGCCCCCTCGGGAAAAAAAATATGTCCAATATGTTTGTTTCTACAGTACAAGTTTCTTACAGTCCAAATGTTTCTCGATCCAGATACCTCGTTAGTAACTAGGTATCCAGTAACTAGGTATCTAGTAACTAGGTCCCTTCCATTCTATCAACATTTGGGAGTATTTACTACTTATATTATGAATATTTCTCAATCTTCGTTCAGTTCTGTCTGAAGTGTTTTTCCTTCAAATTTGAGTTTAAATTATCTTCTGATCAATACTTTTCAGATGATCTCCATCAAGTAAATGTTATGATAAGACTTTTAAAAATGATTCTTGTTTATGCAACGTGCACTTAATGAGGTGAAACACTAATACACAGAGAAAAATTAGAGCGTGTTGTGTGACTTCGTGACCTAGACATCATTTATCTTAAGAAAAAGGTAGCTTAGTACTCGCTCCCGTGTTGTAGGAGGTGGGAGGCCTTACAACTATGAGGGTCAACTTCATGTGCTGTTTCTCAAGACAAAAATACAGCAGTCATTATTAGTGTGTGTGTGTGTGTGTGTGTGTGTGTGTCATTGTTTTTTTTTTATGTGCTGAAGTTTGTAGTCAACACCTTTTTTCTGTTTTGGAGAGAAGAAGAGGTACTGTAGGTGTTTCTCTGTCCTTCTCACCTGAAGCTGTAAGAGGCAATAATGGTTGCCCCTCGAGTAACGAGGATGGCCGGCCCAAGGGCCACCTAGGCGTGAATATTTTTAAGGTGAAGAAGCTGTCGCCAACACAACAACCACACCCTGAGTTAACGAGTTGCACGACCCAGTGTCAAGGAATAGCCCGAGAAGACCGGACAACTCGCCAACTGCACTGTTTGGGCCGGGGTTTGATATCAAACGATCTCACTTGTTAACACCTGCCTGAACGAGTGTAGAGTAGTCGCTGGTACCTTTGATGAAGCTGGGTGAGATAATAGGTAGTCTCACGGCGTGTCACCTTTGATACAGTCGTAGTTTTGAGTCGTTGAGTTGAGTCGTTGAGTCGTCCAAGCCCACCTGGGTTACACTTGTAATTATCTTAGCTTGTAAGTATACACAAGTGTACACAGGTTCTGTTATCTTCATTTGTGGTTCCTTGGTTTAATGTAAACACACGTGGTGATTTTCTAGTTATATTGGATGCTCTCGTAGTTACAGCATTGTTTGTTGACAGACTACTGAGCATTAGCTATTAGCTTGTAATTAGCTGATAAAATTAGAGAGAGATACAGCCTTGGGAGCTATGCTCACACACGTCTCTTTAGTACGGTGTCTGGCTGTGAACTGGTGAACTGTGTGAAACTGTGAACTAGGCGAACCTCTCTCTGTCTGCTTGTAAGGGTGTATGTAATCTATACGTCAACACAGAGATAAGAGGCTACACTCCACAGGCCTACTCTCACGGAGGCCTGGGGACATATATTTATGGGTTGTAACCTGAATCTGTGTGAAACTACAAATGTTTATGTGTGCTGTCCACCCTAGGAGGTGTGACAGAACAAATGCTTATGTAGCTTTATGCTCAATAGTCTGGGTGATAGAATGTATATAATGAATATATGTCCTTAGCCCATATTTATATAATACTGATTGATAGGGGCTAGAACAGCACTGGCTAACCATTACCCCCAGAACACGATCCGAAATCGATTAATATTCAGGTTCCTAATTACTGCTGGGTAGAGGGGGCAAATGGCATAAAGGCATTGCAAACACACACACACACACACACACACACACACACACACACACACACACACACACACTATGACCTTGATCTGAGGTAAAAGGAAGCGATAACTTGGGTGTTGAAGCCTCATAAGATAACATTCGTATGGCATCAGTCCGTCCGCCAGTGTCACTTCCTCACTCCCTCACTCTCTCAGCCCCTCACTTCTTTACTCCTTCACTCCCTCACTCTCTCAGCCCCTCACTTCTTTACTCCTTCACTCCCTCACTCTCTCAGTCACTCTTCCTCACTCCCTCACTCTCTCAGCCCCTCACTTCTTTACTCCTTCACTCCCTCACTCTCTCAGCCCCTCACTTCTTTACTCCTTCACTCCCTCACTCTCTCAGCCCCTCACTTCTTTACTCCTTCACTCCCTCACTCTCTCAGCCCCTCACTCCTTCAACTCCTCACTCCCCCTTTATCTCACTCCCTCACTCTCTGCCAGCGACTTGAGCGACACGTATATCTCTCAAATACATAATTGTTGATGTTTGATATACGATGAAATCTCGATATAGGCTCCTCAGCACATAAGGTAATGCTGAAGTACAGGAATACACTATAACATTACATCATGGCATCACAACCGACCAAACGTAATACTTAACGAGACGAAATAGAGACATGAAAGTCACTTATGTTCACATGATAGAGTTTCCATTCTTACTAACATTTTCTTCCTTTGTCCAAGAGTAAATAATAATTTCATCTCTTGATTCGGGTTTAATTGGCAAAAAAAAAAAGAGTCCAGTCTCGTGTTCTCAAAGGATGTAATTTTTTAGTTAAGGCCAGAACTGTTTGACTGCCATAGAGAAACGTATTAGATTTTTTTTTTTTTAATTGAATCCTAAATCTGACTTTTTTATTTCCTCTAATGGGAGATAAACATTAAACTTCTACACACTACGTGAGGGTTTGTGTCTTTTGTTATTGTGTTTGCTGTTGTGATGTGGCCGTCATGGTGGACAAGAGACATTTCAAGACTATAAGGGAGAGAGGATGGCTTTGTGGGGGCAGGCATAGTAGTTTTCTTGTCCCATAAATTATTCCTTGTAAATTATTCGTTATTCTGAGCCTCTTTGGGTAATTTTAGGATCGTTTGGTAGAAGATTAATATTTTGAGGTTATATAAGAACCAAGTTGAGCTAGGTGTAGGGGTTTGTTGTTATAGTTATTGGTGATCAAGGACTTCAGGAACGAAGATAACATGATAATGTGAACTTGTTTCCTGTTATCGTCTTTCTGGATTATTATCGAGAAACACACACACACACACACACACACACAAAAAAAACTACACACATACACACACACACACACACACACACATACACACACAATACACCACTACACACACACAGACACACACATACACCCACAATATACTACTACACACACACAGCCTCAGTGTAAAGGGAGAATAAAAGTAAAATTTCGTTGTTCTTATTTACTATAACATAAATAGAATAATATATAATAATCAGTGACTTTATTATTATACATGTTTGGTGTTAGTTGTATGATCTAGTACCTATGCGTTGAACAATAATATATCACAGGTATAACAAGCTACCACTACTTCTTGAGTGTACCAGTATATAAACACAATGTTACTGAGAGTTATGAGAGGTTGGTTATATATAGAAGAGTCGTGCTCGCTCCTGTGCAGTTTTAATTCAACGAGCGTTTTGGGTGGGGACTCAAGCCTGTGCGTTCACCATGGGTTGTCGAGGTAGGAAGCCCCGTGTGCCGTCTGGCCCCCTGGGGAGACGAGTTACGTTCTCTGGCACAAACAAGGAGGCATCTTGTCGTCGTCGGAGACTGGGGGAAGCAGAGGGAGACGAAACAACGGAATTGGAGGTAACACTTCCTGATGCTGCAAAGACACGACGTCTCAGCCAAGGACTGAGGGGCGCTGGTACCGCAGATTCGAGAGCTTTGGCGCTGTTAATGTCGTTAATAAAGTTCTTTTGACGCCAGGTGTTAGGGGAACTGGGTGTCGACGTGATACCCCGGGGGCCCAGCTGACGCCGAGGTAGTGGAGAGGAGCCAGGCACCTCGTACCGTGGGAAGAAGACAGGGCGGTCTTCAGGAGACGAACTGGGTGTTGCAGGACTACGACGCAGGTTGTATGGAGATGGAGGAGAGGACTCTGGAGATGAGTGCTGCGGTTTGCGGTGACGACGCAGTAAAACGGGAGATATGACAGGAGACGAGGCCAGTGAAGAACACGGGGACCTCAGATTTTTTTTATATAACATCTTCATATGACTCTCAGGTGATGTTGGCTCCGACATATCTGAAGTGCTGTAATAAGCACTTTCTCCTTCAGCGTGAGTCTTGGTGCTCAGCTTGGTCTCACGCTTTTTACGGGGTAACTCAAGTGCCTTCATGTTACACTCTGAGTTATTAAGTATAGACCTTAGTGCCTGTCGGGCGCAGTGTACCCTCTCGTATTCCACAATGGCGCATATGGTGTTGATGATGCCAGGGTGTTCCCGCTCAGCTAGCCGCACCTCTTCCAAGGATCGCCCGTTGGGTTTGTGCATCTGCAAGGAGGTCAGCTCACCAAACTTGGCGAAAAACTCTGCTAAATTATTCATATTGGCATCTTCTCTGGCGATGTTGGTGGCGAGCAGCGTCCTGAAGGCCCTCGTGTCATCTTCCAGCTCCTGCGACAACACAGTCACGCGCCGAACTTTCGTCTTATTCTCGTTTATCTCAAGTGTCTTCGAAGCCTTAAGCGCATGCGCAACAACCCTCCAGTCTTTGGTGAGCCGCTTGACTTTCTTGTAGCTGGTGAGTAGTTTGATCGAGACGTAGCCCTCGTGATGCTTGGTGACGTGCTTCAGGAGGAACATGTCTTTCACCAAGTTGTGTTCACTCAGGTAGTACTCCACTAACTCTAGGATGCGACGACACACATCCTGGCTTGGGAGGACGACGGGGGCCAACACCTCCACGTCTTTCTCGGCAGGTGAGTCATCCACGTCCTCAGAGGAGTCTGACCGTGTGACGGACGTTACAGTTGTTTGTTTGTGAAGATGGAGGGCGTCTTCAGCCAATTCCGTCTGATCGATGTTAATGATTGGCATGGGTGGGCTGAGCTCCTCCTCGTCGGTGTCGTCCGTCAGTGACGACGACTCTGATGACCCCACGAAGTCCTTGGCGTTTGCTGGTGCCTGACATTCTTCACAGTCGCTTCCTGTCACAATTCTCGACAAGAGACTCAACATGACCTTTGGCACAAGTCACTAGTGTTCACGACTTTGATGATGATGTCTCCAACAAGGATAACTGAAACAACAGAAATATTATCCTGGACGAGACAGTAGCCAGCTCAAGACAGCCTAGCTATGAGGGAGCGTATTCTCAGCCTTACCTCTGGGGAGTGACTGGACTAAGTGGTCACGAGGCTGCGGTATTTATGCCTCACTTCTTGACACAAGTCAGTAGCCACTTGTATGGCTCCCAGGTGAAGAAAATACTTCCACCTCCTGACACCGGAGGTCGGCGCTCTCACATATTCCTCCCTGTATATTATATTAACCACCATCTTGGCAATAAACAAACAATAAACCTATACTGGCAATGTGAGAGACAATAATAAAAATTGAGGAAGGAGGAGAGAAAAGAGGGTGTGAGTGAACAAGCAAACAACATAAAGAAACCCTGGTGGTGGTAGCTGACTCAGGCGACGCCCCTTATTGAATTACTCCTGCTTCTCATTGTCTCTCCTCCAACCCTTTTATAAATAACAACAACACCGCCAAGGCTGTCACATGAAACTCAATTGAACAAATATTATAATCTTTATTTTTTGGGGTAGAGTTACCAAGAACATCACAGACGCAAAATGGCTGTCACATAAGGTTTTATCTTTCCCAGAGGCGAAGGTTAAAGTTGACACATTACGGACCAGGGGAGGTGTTGCTCTTGCATAAGGCAGTTTGACCCAAGACTGTGTGTTTATGTAACCAGGCTGAGTGAGCACTTAATTAATGTTCATTTTCTCTTAGTATAATACATAAAGTTTCTGGCACTCTCAAAATCACACTCGAAACTCCACTAGTCGTATTTCCCCATAATGGAAGTAATCGAACACATCTTGTCTGTACAGTCTCAATGCAAATCTGATTCCATCTTGATCAACCTTTTGAGTCACAGCTAAATGAATTCTCACTTTTCAAAATAAAGGAAAATTTAACGTACAAACTTCTTATATTCGAAAACCAGATTAGCCATTTATATTTGAGTCATGTACGGTGATAAATACCCCTCTGTGACCTCTTGATGAACGGCCATTATACGCCTTTATTGGGTGTGTAAACGAAAAGCCACTCAGTGATCACGTAACAACTGGCCACCGTCACCCATAAGTAGCTCAACAAGTCACCACCTTCACTAGGCGTTTTTAGCTGTGTTATCATATATTTACCTCCCTGTGTAAGTTATTTTGTTCAACACTGGACTATAGATTAATGACAGGATTATTTTAAAGTGTTGTTCCTCAAAACCCAACATGATATCCTGCCTTGACGTGAGTTTGTAATGTAAAACCTCTCTATCTCTCGCCTATTTCATCTGATGATTTAACACCCTAATACTAACCTAACCTAACTTAACCTAACCTAAGCTAACTTAACTTAACCTAACCTAATCTTCCATAACCTAATCTAATCTTCCGTAACCTAATCTAATCTTCCATAATCTAACCTAACCAACCACTAATAATCTCTGTTACCAAGCGACACACACACACACACACACACAGAGCCTTGAAAACTACCACCCAGGGTCATGACTGTTCTTTATCCTCACCACCCTGTAAGTCTTCACCAACACCCTCCCGAAGAAGCGTTTTTTTACGTCGTTACCTACTGGCCAAACCGAACCTCGCGGCCTATATGTTATGATCAGTTATATGCAGTAGTATTTGTTGTGATTATTTTTTTTTACTTGTTTTAATCTTGTGTTTTATGTTTATTGTTAATGGAAGAATCTGGGAGTTATATGCACCACAGACAGGTAAAGAATAATGAAAGGTGTGTGTGCTGTTACTGGTGTACTGTATACCGTGTAGGATGTTACTAAATGTGTTTTATGCTGTTGTTTAGTTTAAAAACGCAACACAAGATGTATTATATAATGTGAATATTTTTAGTTACCTACAGATTATTATATTAGGTTGGACTATTAAGTAAGCACATCAGCGGTGACGGGCACGTGTCACCACTGGCTCGAGACACACGTGAGAAGGGTGTTAGCCAGTGTGCACCTTCCTCCTGTACTAACACTCGATATTAAATGTCATAACAAAGAACAAATTAACCTCTCGAAGCACCCGAGCCGCTAGTAAAATAATAAGTGGAGAAATGATAAATTAGGGTGTTTTGTACTGTATACCTTACTGAAACCATATATTCGGATTCCTTCGTCCATGACAGTCATTGGGCCATGATTCTGAGATGAAATATACGCCAGTTTTAATTTATGGCGCTAGAATTTTTATTTCCTGTGTCTTTCGTTAAATAAATATGATGGATATATTTATGTGTACAAAATACCATCCTGTCCTTCTAAAACACTCTCAAAGTCGTCTTTTACATTTAAGAAAACTCAAATGAAGTTTTAATAGTGATATTAATGATAACATTACTATAATTTGTGACTAAATATTAAATATACCGGTAAATTACGATGAAAAAATATATTGGAATATCTGAAGTGCATTTATATACACGCTGAGTTATGGAGTGTACGATAATAATCATATACACGGGGCGAATTGGCAATGTACTGTACGATGGTGTCTCGTATAATACTAATGATAATATTTACGGTATCCAGTTAAGTTTTTATGCAGGTTTACAATTGAATTAGCATTTTTACAAACTATACAGTTATGCAGTGCAGGTATACGGTGCACGTAGACCGTGAGTAGTATACAGTTTCCTGGTGCCGAGACAGTGCAGGTAAACAGCAGTGGTAAACAGTAAGGCAATTTGGCCAATGGTGGCCGGCAAAGCTGTGAGCTGCTTATTTCCAAGAGGGTCCTGTGCTTAGGTTTACGCCTGATCTCTAATCAGTAATAGTATGTCTGCACTGTAGACTCTACAGATGTACTGTATTAGTTAAAGTTTATTTTATTTAAATCGACAATGCCTAAACCACTTTGACGTTTATATTTTAATACACTGTTGATTCTCAAATAGACTATATGATGATTAATAATAATGGTAAAAGTAGAAAAGTATTACTTGGGATGTATGACAACTTTATATAAAGTATAACAATGTAGTAGTTTAGTACAATAGTTTGAGCGAGGGGCAGCAGGAACAGCGCGCCTTTTATTGTAAACAACAAAGTTTGGCGGGAAAAATTCTTAGGTGATATTGTGTTACTCTCTGTCCTTATTTTAGCTTCATTTTTATCGTTATATCCCGGTAAGTAATCGAATTGGTGCCATAAAGAGTCATGTAATATATTCCTCACATTGTATTGCTCCGGTGAAGGTAAGATTCTATTTAAGTTAGTAAATGAGAGTCATATAGTCACAGGGTTCTTAAAGGTAAGTCATTGTGGTGTTTGGTGGGGATTGTTTGTTAAGTATTTTACTATATAAGTTCCTAATGTTTATAGTTACTGTGATTGAGTTCATTACCAGACGACGATGAATGCTAGTCTCCTGGATGGTTAAGATGAGAGTTTTAACTTTGAAATAAAACAACCATGGTAAAGGGAAGAATGGCTCACTCATTCACTATTATTATTATATATTTGGTGTATAATATATATGTAAAACACTAGCAAGAGGTATTTTACACATGTTCTAAATGTTTGTGTTGCTTTAATATATGTTCTTATCTTAAACATCTTGGCTTGTTGACCATTCCAATCCCTCTAACTGTCGTCCCATTGCCCTCACTTCATCCCTCTCCAAGATTTTCGAAACTATCTTAAGCTCTCATTTTCCCCGTCACCTTGAACACCTTTATGTTAATTTATAGTAGAGCACTGGTCTTTCTTTGGGTATTAGAAATATGTAAAAAAAAAAGAAAAAAAAAACCAAACCAAACCTAACATAACCTAACCTAGGGTTGCCATGCGTCCGTATTTTCCTGGACATGTCCTCCATTTAGGTCTTGAAATCATCATCTGGAGGTAATTGTTAAAATTCTTCAAAAGTCCGGAATTTCAGCTAACATCATTTTCTCCACGGACAAAAGCATGAAACTGTAATGACGAGAGAAAGAGAAGGTACTTTAACGGGCTGTTTGGTGGATTCGGCATCCTGTGTACCGCCGGCAAGACCGTGGGCTCATAACACTTCTCTTGCCCGCGGTGCCCACCGTTTCTGTGTGGATGTCGATCACACTAGAATAACCCGTAAAAGCACATCCTTCTTTCCTCACACAGCCAAACTGTGGAATGCTCTGCCTTCTTCTGTGTTTCCATACTCTTACAATCTGTCCCACTTCAAAAAGCTGGTTTTCCTGCATCTTCGTGGTGTAGATTAATATGATCTTTTTCTCTTCTATTTTTAATTTCTTTTTACTCTTTATTTTTTCACCCCCTAGGCCCTGTAGGGGGTCGATGACCTGTGCCCGGGTGGGCTATTCCCTGTAAAAAAAAAAAGAAGGTTTGAATTAGTATTATCGTTTCGGTCATGCGGTGAATTTTGGTTTAGGTTGGGTTGGAGTTGGTAGGTTAGGTTGAAATTATGTTTTTCTGGTGATTCTTTATGTGTTTTGAATGATTCTGACCTTCAAAAAATAGGTGCATGATCGAAACGATATTTTTACCTCCAGGTTAACGAGTAACTTTAGAAATGTTTTGTATAGCAGTCAACTTCTTTATTAACTCCGGAATATTTCGGAAAATGATGAGGATTTGTTATTTTCGTATTGTAATTGTGGTGATTTTTATCTTTAGGAATGCTAAACATTGTCCACCCAGCAACATGTTCTATGTTTATGAAATAATCCTTTCATAGACCGGAACAAGATAACAGCAACTGCTACTTTGTGTGATTTTAGGAAGTAGATGATCAAACCTAACCTAACCTACCAAATTTAACACAATATATCCTAATCTACCCGCTGTCAGTACTTAATTTTCTTGCAGACGAAATAAAAAAAAACTTGATATGGTTGTGCTCATATCACTAACTTAAGAAAACCTCTCCACAGAAGATAAACACTTTCTTACCAGCTGAGATGGCCAAAAAGTGCACAAGGCTTACAATATGTGTCACATCACTTTATGAGTTTTTCCATGCTAAACAATGCTCTTTGTAAAGGTTTATACATATGTACTGTAAGGGTATTATTATTGTTTCGGTCATCCAGCAAATTTAAGGTAAGTTGCATTTGAGAAGCAGCGCTGTGATCCATTTATTACTATTCCCAAACAACTTATATTGAAGCCTTTTCTCACTCTCTTATAGGTGGTAACCTATAAGTAAAGGCACCATGTCCTCTCCGGGCCGTCGAAGTGCACGCTCAACACCGAGCAAGCAGAGTGACACAAGTGAACTGGTCCCCTTGCCTCCTTCATCACCCGGGTCAGAACTTCTACCACCTACGTCCCCGGCTCCACCACGCTTGCAAAGTACAGTTTTCATGACATTCATGTAATTAGAGTTGAAAATAATTTTTTGTATCCCTGCTGAATACAGTTGTGGAGTAGCAATGCATTCCATCTGAGGTTTGGTTGTTTCCACAACTGAGAAAGTTTCAACTCATACAATAGTGGTGATTAGCTTAGTGTAAAGATAGAAAAATAACCAAATTTTGGAAATGCTCATTTCATGCTTGTTTTTCTCCCTGTGCTTGTACCAGGTTAGCATTATTAGTTCAATGAAACCTCTATTTTAAGGATTATTTGTATATGAAGGTCCGTTATGCTGAGGGTCCATCTGATATGAAACCTCCATCTAACAAACTGTTTAGATCTGAAGAGCTGTTATATCGAGGGACCATTAGATGTGAAACACCCATCTAATGGATTAAGTGGAGAGAGAAGTCCAATATATGGAGGTTTCATTATAAAGGGAGACATTTCTTTTGATATATATAGGATACTGTGGATGATGTAGGTGGGTGTTTTTTACTGGAAGAAAGACTTGACAGCATCTTCAGTTGATGTTAGATGGCAGCTTGTTGGGAAAAGTTTACCTTAAGCCTTAATATTACACATGCTGGGTTCCTTCACATCATATTGGTAATGCTCCTTCTAGCCCTTCCTCCTCTCAGGATGAAACTCAGTTGGAAGTGTAGAATTACAGAGTCCTTTGTCCTTCCCCCTCCTGTAAGCTCCATCATAAATCAGAGTTATGTTGTTCCTGTACTGTACAAACATAATAATTTATTCTATCATCCAGTGCATGTTCTTTAATCACTGTTATTTTGTTGGTTTTTAGTATATATTGTTTTGGTTTAATTGATAATGTATACTCATATTTTTTATAGCTCTTCATGAAATGGATTTAAGCTCTCCTTTGAACTATGGAACACCCAGCAGTGTCGGATCATCAGTACGTACTCCTCGTTCTGGTGTCCGAGGAACACCTATCCGTCATCGATCTGATATCCGTTCTGATCGTCGTATCAGACAGGTGAGTCTTTTGTATTTGGAGAAGTGTCACAGTGCTTGAGCTTGTGTGTTTGACTTCCTTCATCTTCCATCATTTTTCTCCTTCACCCTTGAGAGGCCAGTGTTTGAAGGGTCAGTGCTTCATTGGCTGACACATAAACATATAAAGGAGGAAACTGCAGCAGGCCTATTGGCCCATACTGGGCAGTCCCATTTACACCCAACTCCTATTGCTCATATATCCATCCAACCTATGTTTGAAGCTATCCAGTGTATTCGGAGTTTATGATAATGTTTGGTAACGTGTTCCATCAGTCCACTACTCTTTTATTTTCAAACCAATGCTTCCCTATTTCGTGCCTAAATCTAAATTTGTCTAATTTAAAACCATTGTTACCAGTTCGCTCTTGGTTGGGTAGTTTAGTACCTTTGTTTAGCCCTGACTTCCATTTATACCTCAATCATATCGCCCTCACTCTCGTCTCTCGAGTGCAAATTAAGATGCTTTAACCTGTCTCTGTACCGAGGTTCCTAATGCCCGGGATTAGTCTTTTCATTCTCTGAATTCTTTCTAGGATTCTATATCCATTCTGTAGTACGGTGACCAGAATTTAACTGCGCACCTCAGTGAGCTCCCCGCTGCTAAGATACAGTTTTAGGATGACCTTCTAGTCTTGTAACTAACACTCTTTTGTATGAACCAAAATACTTTATTAGCTTTGTTTCGAGCAAATACACATTGTTTACCTGGCTTAAGATTCCTACTTATCATTACTCCTAAATCTTTTCACATTTGGATTTCTCTATAACATCGTTGTTCATCTGATATCTGGTTTCTCTGTTTACATCTCCTAGACTAAGTACAGTAATATCTCCATTAGACGGAATCCTCAAACCCGAAGTCTCCGATAGCTGAATTGAAATTGCTCGAAAATCATTCCCAAAATTGGAATTTTCCCAAAAATTCCTGCTTTAGGAACAAATTTTCCGGAGGTTGAAGGTCGAGAGAATTTTTGAAAATGTCTTAAATAAAGATGAAAGTTAAAGTATTTTTTTTTTGGGTGGGGACTTGACCTGACCTGACTCAATGTCAGGTGGAGATAGGGTGAGGATTAGTGGTCTCATATTACTGACCTGCTGATGGAATGTCAAGTCACCCTTTCTTGGGTGGGGGATTAGTGGGTCTCATGACCTGAAGTTGTCTTGAATAAACACAAAACCTAAAGTATTTTTAGGGAGATTGTGATAAGTATAAGTATAAATGAGCAAAGTTGTATCCCTTCAACATTACATTACATAACATATTAAAATATGGAGTGAGAAAGCAGAAAGGTGTGGGTGATTAGAGATATCGAGTGGAAAGAAGTGGTAACATGCATCAGTGTTGCCAAGTGAAAAGCTCCTCAACAGCTGATCTTTTAATTTGCCTCCATGCAGTCACACAACAAGACCCTCACTGGATGCTTGTTGTCTTAATTCCGTGTGTGTGTGTGTGTGTTGAGCTTGCCAAGCACATTGTAGGATTTGAAGAAGTTGATGAAGAGTTTGTTCAGGAGTCAGGTGGTGAGGTGACATGCCAAGACACTTACACAGCACACACATTAACAGCACTACTAAACCATTGTCTTATAACATTTTACATTATAATTTCTATTTTAAAATTAATTGATACATGATGGCTCGACAGGGCTACTTTTGCACTTAGACAACTGATCAATGAATAAACCAGGGCATATTGAGACTCATTATACATTAGTGATGTCACAAAGCTTTGAAACTGCAACCACATAAATTATCACAACCTGTACTTGCCAACAGTGCATAACATAGATGTAACCATATAACCCTTAATTAATCACAGGATTATCATAACAATCGACCAAAATTAAAAGCACCTACACCAAAAATCGGACTCTCCCCTTAAATTCTCGGCTGTGAAAACTGTTGAAAAAAATCTGTTCAGATTATTGCTCATTTCTCCGTTGTTATCAGTTAGCTCGCCGGTGTCTGACTGTATTGGTCCAATCTTGTCTCATATTTAGTGTGATACATTTGGTCATTCTGAAATTTATTTTACATATTGACAATATATAGTGCAGTGCAGTGTTGATTTAAAGAAAATAATCTTGAATTACACCTAGTGAACTTAAAATTTTATGGGTGAAATGACGACATGAAGCATGGGGTGATTTCTCTTCCACCCCCACTTCCTTCTCTTCTCCCTTCTCCTCCACCCCCACTTCTAATTCCCATCATCATCATCATCATCAACCAGGAGCCTTCTACATACACACCTAAAAGTAAGTGTACTTTACTGCATTTATTTTTACTTTGTATGTAATTTTCGGTGAGTTGGAACCAATTACCCAAAATCCCATTAATACAATGGTTTTGGTTAACGAACGATCTTCTGGAACGAATTGTGTTCATTAACCGAGGGACCACTGTAGTTGGTTGGTCACCAATTTAATTTTTCACTCCTGCAGACTACATCATCCGGGGACCTGCCATGTTATCTATGAGTCTGCATGTTAAACTTAAGAAAGATAAAACTTTCATGTTTACCAAAACTGAAAAGGAAAAATATAAAAGTTGGATTCAAAGAATATATAAAATCTTTCAAAGTAATTTGAAAAGTTGCAAGTGTAAAAAAATATTATTACAGTACAGTAGTAGTAGTCTAACCTATTCAATGTGGCTGGTCTCAATTTCAAGTTTACCCACGATATGGAACTTTTAATACCTACCGGGTTTCCGTTCTGTATAGTATATGGCATGTCTGCAGGCATCTGCCAAAGGCATTTACACTTGTAGCATGCCCACATTGAATAACTGCTTTCAAAACTAAACTACCGTATTTCATGAACCTATTAATACAATGATCATCCTTCAGGTGAACATCTCCACGGACCCTGCCAGTGAGTCTAATGCCGAGGGAGCCGCTGCTACATCAGCTCCACCTGGGGGCTCAGCACAGACAGAGGGACCACAAGGGCCCCAGCTGGTCATCTGGGGTACAGATGTTGTTGTTTCGGAGTGTAAGGATAAGTTTAAGGCTTTTGTTCTACGCTTTGTGGAGCCAGATGTAGGAAATGATGAACGAGTTGAGGGCATGAACACCGATGAACCACTGTATCTGCAGAAGTTGGAGGAGGTAAGTTACACCCCAATACATGTAGTACAATTTTATTGTTAGGGATTTTTTATTGACAAATACTGTTCATAAGAGTGAATATCCATCTACTGTACTCTGTAGTTATACCTGGATCTTTTTTTCTTTTTCTTTCTTATTATTCTGGCCAGTAGTTGAAGCCACTTACTGTAAAGTTTGTTTAAGGTTTTGGGGATTTACCCTTAAATCTTAGCTTTTAACAAGTATACAGGAGACATTTCACAGTCTTTCCCTCCTCTTATGAGTACAGTACGCCCTGATAATTCGCGGATTTTTATTTCGTGGTCCTCTATTATTCGCGGATGGCACCCTGGATGTACCCAAGAATGTCTGCGGGTAGGTTTAAAGTTGCCGGCATTTTCGCGGCCGGTACTGGGAGACATTCGTTCTAGAGACAGTAATTTCCTTTTCCCTGTATGGTATATATTTGTGTGTGTGTGCAGACACTACACACACAAAACATATACAAATAAATAATAATGGGAAAATACTCTCACAAATAATCAGAAACAATGTATATTAATACGCAATGTTGAGTCTACCCTCAAGTCCACTCCGTGCTTTGTTATTAATAAAGCACGGGGTAGACTTAACATTTTTAATATACCGTACATTTGTTTCTGATTATTTGTGAGAGGATTTTTCCATTATAATTTATTTGTATGTGTTTTGTGTGTAGTGTCTACACGCACATATGCCCACGTGTTCGTGACAGGTGCGAGCAAATTAATCATAGTCCAGGCATTCTGGAACGCGTCTGACAATCAATGGTATGACGTGTACAGGCCTGCATTGAGGCAGAAGGGGGCAACTTTGACCATTTCCTTTAGGTTGTAACAAAGAGGGATCACACTGTAGAGATCCATGAATAAATGATTACAAAAACCTATGGGGGTTTCACTGTAAATTCACTCATTAATACAACATCTTAAATGTATTGTAATATGGAAACTGCAGAATCTGACATTTTACCATAGAGACATTGTGGTTTAGAATTATCCAAGGATTTCTACCTCCAATTTAATGTACTCTTTGCTGAATCACCCTCTATACAATACAGGTAAAAGAAATAATTGTCCTAAGGGGAAACACATAAAGGGAATATACATTTCTTTCTACACAAGTAACACCCACACACACACACACCGAAAAGCAAATGTTATTCGCGGCTATTTTGAGAACCTAACCCCCGCGAATTTGAAGGGCCTACTGTACAGTATTTGACTGAGCAGAAATTGGACTTAGCAATTATTACCGTAGTATATGTTAAGTAAAACATCACTGAATTGTCACTTACAGTATATGGTTGGTGAAATAAAGCATAGACTGCATCATACATATATGTCAAGTAAAGTAAACATCACCAGGTTATGTCAGGTGCCACCATTTATTGTTAAGTTAATGCATTAATAATCCAGGAGTCTTGTAGGTCTGTATTATCCAATTTTTCTTATTTTGAAATGAAGATGTTAAGGGCTTACATATATTTCAGATACACACTTTGGAGGAGCCTTTCCTCAACATCAACTGTTCTCACCTCCACCAGTATGACTCAGACCTGTACCGCCAGCTGGTCTGCTACCCTCAGGAAGTATGTACCACGTAAAGTACTAAAAATTTTACCATAATTGTTACAAAGTAAAATATATATCCCTAAGTCCTAAGATGATTTCACCTACCAGCCAATTGCAATCATAGTTAATAAGAATTACAACCTTTGAACCATGTAGAATTTATGGTTTTGGTTTAGGCTATGAGGATTACTTGTACTGTACATAATAACTCTTTAACTTCTTGCTAATGTATTTATATTCCTTGCTGAACATTACCCCAAAATCTTCCACTGATTACAGCTCACCAGTATTCACACTTACACAGCAAATGGACAAACTTTTTAAGACACATTTTAGCGATGTGGGGACTAGTTTTGTGATCAGGCAGCATCTATGATTTCTTTTGTTTTCTGCTGCTGTTATTTTGAAAATTCCTTCAATTTAACTACAATATACTACTTTTATTATTATCATCATCATTATTATTATTATCAATAGTATCATCATCCTACTAATATGTTGGTTTTGTTTATAGGTAATCCCCACATTTGACATGGCTATCAATGAGATGTTCTTTGAGCGTTACCCGGATACTATTCTGGAACACCAGATCCAAGTGCGGCCCTTCAATGCTGATAAGACCAAGAACATGCGTGCGCTGAATCCTGAAGGTTGGTATACTGTTCTCCATAGTGTTGTACAGTACAGTACAGGAGTAGAGAGACACAGAGCACTGTTGTTGAACAAGGGAAGGTGTGTTAGGTGAGGTACAAGAAAGGGATGTGTGGCAATGAACAAGAAGAGGGAGTTATAGTGGAGTACTCGATACAATAAAAGGCATGCATGGAAGTGTTGGGTTATATAAGGTTAGGGAAGTATTGAGGTAATATATATACCAATTACAAGTAGGACTTGTAGACCCATATACAGCTTTGGTGGGATGGAAAGTCAATGCTGTATCCTGCCTGCTATAATTAATTGTACACAATAATCCTTAAATAGCAGGTAAGGATTCCCTAATGGAAAGCTATAAATGTTAACAGATGAGTTTGGAAGTGTGTGTGTGTGTGTGTACTCGGTAAAAGTTAACCCTTTTAATGAAGATACCCCCCACACACACACACACACACACACACACACACTTCCATTAAAAAAATATTCACTCCTTGAACCTTCCGAGTTCCCCCTAAAAAAGTTGTGACAATTCTTTAAATAATGTCTGGCAAGGGATAAAAGGGATTGACTAAAGGTGGTATTGAATGTTGTGTGAACCAACAGTGAAACACCAGAAAGGTATCTTAAGGCCTTTTGTGGATAAGAAAGGCCATCACATCCATTATAAATGTGAGAGTGAATGAATAACAATGACATCTGTGTTTTCTCTTTGTACTGTTCAATGCTGTAGGATAGCTGAAAAAGGCTTGCAAGGCTTGAGGGGCTAAACTCCAAAACAGTACTCACTTATTGTAACTGTTACAAACGGTTTCCACTCCTGAGGACGTTCGTAAGTTGGAACATATGCTATATGCATACCGTACCTACAAAACAAGGTTTAAAATTCCACTAAATCATAACCTAAGTCCTTATATACATCTAAAATCACTTAATTTAAGACAAAAGAAGAAATGGAATGACAAAATACAGTAAATGAAAGTAAAAAATAAGTCATCAGGTAAATAAAATACTGTAAATTTCAAGTTTAACCCCATTCATATTGGCAGATGTAACTTAACTGTCTCAAAATTAAATAATAATAAAGATATAAATTCCTCCAAAACCTGTTGGAATCGTAAGTTTGAATACTTCATGCAACGGGGATGAGCTGCAATATTTATTGCCATGATAAACAATAAAATAAATAAATAGCATATCATAAAATACAATAGTAAATTTTATGTAAAAAAATCTCCTTCCACACTCAAACCATTGTATAGTTTGGGACATTTCTATTTCATTCTATTCATTTATTTATTTATTTGTTTATTATTTTTGTTGTGTGTGTCTGTTTATATTCCTCGGGCAGGATTCTCTGTGTTGTCTTCACCGTGCTGAATATATTTTTATATTTCAGACATCGACCAACTCATCACCATCTCCGGTATGGTCATTCGCACATCGAACATCATACCAGAGATGCGCGAGGCGTTCTTCCGTTGCCATGTCTGTTCCTTCACAATCACCGTTGAGATTGACCGCGGCCGTATTGCTGAGCCAACCTTGTGCACATTCTGTAACACAACCCACACCTTCACATTAATTCACAATCGCTCACAGTTTTCTGACAAACAGATGATCAAACTGCAAGAGAGTCCAGGTATGTGGGGGTTATCACATATCATTAGATGCTTTAGTCATAAACTCACCAATATTCAGTTCATTGTGTCTGCATATTGCTGTGTTGTTGATGTCAGAGCCAGGTGAGAACATCTTGCTGTGTGTTTAATGTAAGAAGAGTTCTCATCTGGAAGTTTGTCTGTGATTGTACATTTGACAATATTTTTTTAATACTTTTACCACCAGCTTTAGGTCACATTAGTTGTACACTTGATTCTCCCTAAATATAACAGCCTTAGGGAACCAAATATTGATAATCCTCTCTATTCTTATCTTTTGATCCACAACAGACGACATGCCCCCTGGCCAAACACCTCACACTGTGCTCGTCTATGCCCACAATGACCTCGTTGATGCTGTCCAGCCTGGTGATCGCGTCACTGTCACTGGTATCTACAGAGCTACCCCCATGCGGTTGAATCCTCGAATGCGTAATCTGAAGAGCGTTTACAAGACACACATAGATGTTGTTCATTTCCGGAAAGTGGACAACAAAAGACTTCACGGGCAGGAAGAAGGGTGAGTACTGAACCTAAACTTGTGAGTTGTTAAGGTTCATGACACACCCTAAAGAAGAAGTCTCCTCGGTGTCAAAGATACAGGCTGACCCTGCAAATTCATGTCTCAGAAATCTGTTTTTTCTGTAAATCTGTGCATTTTCATGTGGGCTTCCCAATTGCGGTGTTTGTTGCTAGTCTGTGCCCGTTTTAGACAAATAATTTCTATTGAAATTTAAACGCTCATGAAAATGCACAAATTTGTGGGAAAATGGACTTCTTTCACACTTGTTCCACTATATAAACGACATGGCTTAGAAATAAAGAAAATATAATATACAGTAGAACCTCGATAAATCGGACAAATTGGGGCAGACCCCAGTCCGAAAAATGCGAAAGTCCCCAAAAAGCGAATATATGGGGCGGGGCAGAATTTGAAATAACACTGCTTATCTTAACTGTTTAAAGAAAATCAATTGTTGTTATGTTATTACTGCATTTCAACAACCAAGGCCTTTAAGTATATAACACGGTTATTAAAAGAATATTACATCAATAAAAAAAAATGAAACAGAACATATAAATCTGGTTGTCAACGAGGTGATTGCTTTTTACTGTAAAGTGTTAGATGTAAGTAAACACAGAATTTGTCTTAAGACCATAAGAATGGAGGAAACTGCAGCGGGCCTATTGGCTCATACTGGGCAGTCCCGTTTACACCCAACCCCTATTGCTCATATATCCACTGAACCTATGTTTGTAGCTATCCAGCGTATTCGAGTTAATGATGATATTTGGTAACTTGATTCACTTGTCTACTACTCTATTTCCAAACCAATGTTTACCTATTTAGCGCCTAAATCTGAATTTGTCTAATTTAAAACCATTGTTACGAGTTCGCTCCTGGTTGGATAGTTTGAGTACCTTTGTAATGTTCCCTTTGTTAACCCCCGACTTCCATTTATACACCTCTATCATATTGCCCCTCACTCTACGTCTCTCAAGGTAGTGCAAATTAAGATGCGTTAACCTGTCTCTGTACTCAAGGTTCCTAATGCCCGGGATTAGTCTTGTCATTCTCCTCTGAATTCTTTCCAAGGATTCTAAATCCATTCTGTAATATGGTAACCAGAATTGTACTGCGTAGTCCAAGTGAAGTCTCATAACGCAAGATATAGTTTTAGGATGATCTCGCTAGTCTTGTAACTAACACTCCTTTGTATGAACCCAAGTACTTTATTTGCCTTGTTTCGAGCAAATACACATTGTTTACTTGGCTTAAGATTCCTACTTATCATTACTCCTAAATCTTTCTTGCAGTCAGATTTCTCAATAACATCTTTGTTCATCTGGTATTTGGTTTCCCTGTTTACATCTCCTATACTGAGTACTTTACATCTGTGCCTTTTTTAAACTTGGTCACAGTGGGATACCAATTAGCACAAATTTGTGAGGTCAGCTTGTATTTGAAGACCTCCATGGTTTTCTTACCACAAGAGGGCTCTTAGATGGTCTTTTGAACCCATATTGGTAACAAAGGGTGAAAGCAAATTCAAGAATGAAGGGTCTGCAATCAAGGGAGTGCAGGCCTTGAGAGGTGCCAAAGAGCTACACATACTTCCCAGACTATCTGTGTAACCCAACCTGACTCAACATGTACTGCAAGAAAATTTGGGCAAACTTTGGCCACAAGTTCTGAATTAATTTATGGTATATTGATGAAAGTTTAGTGTGTGTGTGTGTGTCACAAACACACCTAATCTGGTTGGAATTCACAGCTGCAATATAACCAATTTTTTATACTCTATAATACAATATATGAAAACTTGACATAGGATGTTGTATATATTTTTTCATCATATGTATGTTATTGGATAGTTGAGTCTTTCAAGTTTTACAGGTAATTTTTTTATGGTTAGTCAAATGCTGTAATTGGAATTGAGCAGTTTGCTCTGGCAGTATTGGGGATAGCTTCAGGCTCTTACATATGTGACTTTAATTTTAACTCTTAGTAGCTGACCTTTTCCTCATTAGTAAATCATGGTATTGATATACATTTTCAACAGAGAAACCCCACGCTTCCCAGCTGAGCGAATTGAATTGTTGAAAGAACTGTCCCATAAGCCTGATATCTATGAACGTCTGGCTCGTGCAATTGCTCCCTCCATCTATGAAAATGAAGACATCAAGAAAGGTATCTTGCTGCAACTGTTTGGTGGCACGAGGAAAGACTTCACAAATGCTGGCCGAGGACATTTCAGGTAATTAATTTATTTATTTATTTTAGTTCATTGCGATGTATTAGTGGGGTTTTGTTACTTCCTCCCCTTCCCTCCCATATTTATATCATAATGAGATTAGGAAAAGAAATTGGTAATCATTAACGATACAGTAATCAGAACTGCAACACATGTCTCATTCATTACTTTTGGTTGCAACCATAAAATTAATGCATTTTAGATTGGTTTACAATGGTTCTGATATTTAGAGCAATTATGTGTGGAGAACCTTTGGCTTTACCCTTCAAACTGTATGCTAGAGAAACTTAGTAGGATATAAAGATGGAATATAAAATTTTTAATCATTTGGTCCTGCGGTGGTCATTTTCTCAACGTTTTTTTTAATTTACAGGTCTGAGGTGAATATTCTTCTGTGTGGTGACCCTGGTACATCAAAGTCCCAGCTGTTGCAGTATGTGTACAACCTGGTGCCTCGGTCACAGTACACCAGCGGCAAGGGTTCTTCGGCTGTTGGTCTGACAGCGTACATCACCAAAGATCCAGAAAGCCGCCAGTTGGTGTTGCAGACGGGTGCTCTTGTGCTGGCTGACAATGGTGTATGCTGTATTGATGAATTTGACAAGATGAGTGACTCCACGAGGTAAGTCTCTCTAGGTCACTAGTCATATGGACCTCAGCCTTTACCATTCGGATTGGACTCCAGTCTTAATGGGCCCAAGTCGTAATGCTAACTTTTGGTTAGGTTGGGTCCCAATAAACCTTTAAGCTCTAAATGGCAGTACTTTGTGGGGAAGGGAATAAGTGTACAGTACAGGGAGAAATAGTATGATGGGATGATTGAAGTGAGTAGCATCAAATGATTTGAGACATGAACTTGCTGCTTGTATTTGATACTGGTGTGATGTATGAGGCAACATGGGTAAACCAGATAGAAAACTGGGACAACTTTACAACACATTGGTACGCAGAAGAATAGATGACAGCATATGTGGAAAGAACTGTTGCTTATGACTGGTCAGCCTACATTGGAGTGGTAAAGATTTGCAATTATTATTTTAATACAGTATTAGTATTCTTAATGCAGACCTGAGAATGAATGGAAAGAGTTGATGACTTAGTACAGATTGCCAATGATAGAAGTTCATGAAGGAGAGACTGCAACTGTCTTACAGTCATTATTGAGAAATGGTGAATTAGATGTGTAAATCCTATTTCATATTTATTTCAAACAAACTGAGAAAGTATTGAATTTCAAGTGATTTGTCATCTTTGTAATGTAAAAAAAATTTAACTGCTATTTTTATTTTGTCTACTGTTGAAGGGGTTCTATTCTTCCTATTGTCAAGTCATAAAATACAAAATATAAAATTATGTTATCTTGGTTTGCAGATCAGTGCTTCATGAAGTGATGGAACAGCAGACTCTCAGTATTGCTAAGGCAGGAATCATCTGTCAGCTTAATGCTAGAACATCTGTCTTGGCTGCTGCCAACCCTGTTGAGTCACAGTGGAACAAGAACAAGACCATCATAGACAACATAGAACTTCCTCACACCCTCCTCTCACGTTTTGACCTCATCTTCCTCATCTTGGATCCCCAAGATGAGCTGTATGATCGTCGACTGGCACGCCATCTTGTATCTCTGTATTATCGCTCAGAGGCTATGAGTGAGGAAGAAATGTTGGACATGGGTATTCTCAGAGATTACTTGGCATATGCTCGAGAATATGTCCACCCAAAGCTTTCTGAAGACGCTTCACAGCGCCTTATCTCAGCATATGTTGACATGCGTAAGGTAGGCAGTGGCCGCGGACAGGTGACTGCCTATCCTCGTCAGCTAGAGTCTCTGATCCGGTTGGCTGAGGCACATGCTAAAGTCCGTCTGTCTTACATGGTGGAGGTGGCTGATGTGGAGGAAGCATGGAGGTGTGTACAGTATTTATTTGGTCATTATATCCAGTGCTGTATATAGGGATTTATTTTATTTTTTATTTTTTTTCCAGTCGAAATATCTTAATTGCAAAATTTCTTTTAACATAATATTATTTTACATTTATAGATTACATCGTGAGGCCCTCAAGCAGTCTGCCACTGACCCAATGTCTGGCAAGATTGATGTCAGCATTCTGACAACTGGCATGAGTTCTGCAGCTCGCAAACGACGTGTTGAACTTGCTCAGTCTCTCAAAAAGTTGATTCTGACTAAGGGCAAGGTGATGACCCTCAACTTCCAGAAGATGTTCCAAGAAATGAAAGAATCATCAGACTTGGTAAGTTACAAAAAAAGTTTTCCATTTCTAATAAATAAATGGTTGGAAATAGCTAATGACCCAGTTTACCTAATCATATATATTGTTTGTAGTGTGACTTACTATTGTTGGTTCAGATTTTCCTCTGATTAGCTGAGTGAGTTATGGGATGAAAAAAAAAGAGAGAGCAAAGTTTCCAGGATTTAGTTTCACAACACATTTCCAAAACAGCTCTTGTTACATACTGTGAAAATGTTTCCACAATGACAAAATTTTATGGGCTAGTCTTCAGTCCATGGAATCTCTCAAAACAGTGAATAGATATCTTAAAATAAAGATATCTATTCACTGATACAGTGATATATCCATTAGTCTGAACATTTCGTGCAGAGTTTTCCAGGTAATGAGACGAACCGTATTTTCATTAAAATATTACATCGCAAGTATATTTTACCTTAACTGTGACTGAATGAATATATTCTCAGAAATAATTATGGAAATGTAATATTTTGGCTGAAATGATATACATATTACAGTGGAAAGTGGGATAAAATCATGACGAAAACAATGACTTTCGCTTTCTTTCGTTGTTCAAAAGATTTTACCGTAATTGCTTTTCGAATGGTTTTCAGTTAAAAAACTGTTGTACCGTACTGTATTACAATAATATTCTATCCTATCATTAGCCTGATAATCCCACAATGTAATATTTTTGCAGAAATGACGTACGTATTGCAGTGGAAAGTGGGATAAAATTGTGACAAAACAATGACTTTCGCTTCCTTTCGTTCAAAAGATGTTACCGTAATCGCTTTTCGAATGGTTTTCAGTTAAAAAACTGCTGCATCACAAGTGAATTAGGATATAATAGTATTGTAATATAACAGTTTTTCTTACTGCAAACCATTCGAAAAGCGATTACGGTAACATCTTTTGAACGAAAGAAAGCGAAAGTCATTGCTTTCGTCACTTACCACTGTAATACGTATGTCATTTCAGCAAAAATATTACATTTCCATATTCTCAGAAATAAATAGTAGTTTTGCTGAAATGTAATGTATTTCAATGTAAATTAGGATAAACTACATGAAAACAAAAGACTTTACCTAACCTTCCGATGTTCAAGATATGTTACTCGTTTTTTTTAATAGCTTTCCGTTAAAATACTGTTATATTAGTGATATTCTATTCATACTGTGCTTGATATAATACATTCACGGAAATGTAATATTTTTGCAACTACAATGCTGATGTCAACACAAGCGTGGTTACAGCGAGACTGACTGAGTGATGGAGAGCTATGCGTGTGTGTGTGTGAGGTTGCGGGAGCGGGTGGTGTCCCGTGTGAGGTGCCGCGTGCGAGTTTAATGGCGCGCGATTTGAATGTACTTCAATGTACAGAATATTCCTCCGGCGGGGCAATCCGCGTATTTGCAAATCCGTGTATGCTAAACCCGCGTATGTTAAGGGCCGATTGTATAATGGTGGGGACTCCATTCTCTTATTAAAAGAAATGTAAGATATAGTGATACCGATCAATAGAATAAGTTCTAATTAGTTGGAAACACCATTATTTACCCAAAATAATCTTGAATAGTTTATCCAAAAGTTTGGTTCAATAAATATATTTATAAAAAAAAACATTATATGATGCAGGTGTGCTAGGCATAAATGGAGCTGTGTGTCACACTGAAGACAGTGGAATGTTCCACCAGCACTGGGGAAAGTTTTCCCCGAGTTTAAACTCGACTTCTCACATGGAGCTATATTTATTTAAACAAACACCTCTGTACATTAAACAAAATATATATACTCCTGTATACTGTATATATTATACAGTACTCACCAGCCGATGCTGTCGTCTTGCACCTACAGTAAGCTCAATGTAATATGTAATTAATCACTTTTTACGTCTTAACACTTGGATTGGAGGTGGTCTAAATGTAATGACCTGATGCAATGTCAGGTCACCCTTTGTTGGGGTGGGGGGGACCTGAAGAATGATGTCTTGAATAAAGACTAAAGCTAAGATGCTCCAGTGTTTCCCATTTCCTGTACATATGGTACAATACTTCCATACTGACTGTATAGTACACTACAGGAATACCTCACTATTCGCTTACCCACAATTGATATTTTAACACCCTATTCAATATTCTTAAAGCATACCCCGCTTATTCGCAAATGAAAAATTACGATACCCTACAATACAGTATGTACAGGTATTTCAAACCGGGTGGGCTAGCTGAAGCTTTCATATTCCGACATAAGGCCCATTTAACACATGTGTGATTTAGAAATTAATGAAGTTCAATGGGAGTGTGGTGGTGGTGGGTATTGTGAGGTAATGGTGGCTGATGGTCATAGGAGTGTGGTTGTAGAGGTTTTTTTTTTTCCTTGTAAATTAATCTTATTATATGTTTTGCTTGTTTATTTTACTTTTATCTCCTATTTCTAATTGTTTCAAAGTTTTGAAATATTTTCTAATTCAATTTATCAAAGTATTTTTGTTTTCTGTTACTTTTCTCTTAATGCTTGACTATTGTTTATTTATATCTTCAGTACTCACGGTAGCCACCGCCACCACCACCCAGGTATTCTGTCAGAATATACTGTATAACATAACATTAACCTCTTAACCATGTGGTAGTAACATGGCGAGGGCTTGACTCATGAGTTCTATTGTAGTCATTGGTTCAAATTATGAGGGAGAATAAAAGGAGGATGCAGTGGTAATGATAGTATAAAATACATTAAGATATTATTGCAATGAAGTTGAGTAGTTTAGGAACACTTCAACATACACAAACACATGAACCTCTCCTTGGGGTTCACTCAAGACTTGGCCAAATTTACATTAACATCGATACAAATTATAAGAACCACTTGGCCCTACTTCCAGGTTAGCAAAAACAAGTCTTTAAATTTAACAAAAGCAATGTTCAGTAGAAACTACTACAACTCACTGTAACATTCTACAAGAGTGACACTATGAAAATAAGGAATCTTCACCATTTCATTTCATTACCACTTATGGTAATACTGTATAGCACTCTCCAAAAACCCGTCACAAGGCTGATATTTGTGTACCATAATTATTATTACTCAATACTGGGGATACAAGTTACTCTTGGCACACAAACTTATCATGACCCCATGAGCCTTAGTGGTACAGTCTTACCTCTCATTTCTTTTAATATTATACTTGTTAACACTTTACAACACAGGACATGTCGGTATTCATATTTTCATTGAGAATAATATAATTCAGACTGATAGATACAGGATGAATTACAACAGGGCTTACGACAGCTTGGATCCAAACATGCCTTGTTTTCACACTCAGTGAAACTACGACTGGACTCACACTTTGAAGCTGAGTCCAGGCTTCACTGTACACATTGAGTTAGGAAAATTTTTACTATGGGTTTACATTAATTTGTAAGGCTAATACTTATATTCTAATTAGTGTTTGAGTTTGTCATGCATCAATTGAATTGGTCACAAATACTCTACTCAGATTGGTATACCTATTTCTTGTAAAGTCAGCTTTTAGGACCCGGGACGAATTACACACGGCCGTTAGACTTTGGAGAGTTTTTCCTGTGACAGGTTCTGCCAAATGATTAATGAGTTTCTTTAATGCAAAAATGACAGTCACTTCAATACAGTCATCAGATTCTCTGTGGCTGCAAATCAAAGACATCTAACTTCAGTTTTGAATTTATATCTCGTAGCTTCACAAGAGGCAAAAATGGTTATCATAGATTTGGCTGGGCCTTCACATACATCATCTGAGTACAGTTTGCACTGCACTTAGATAGTTGAAGCTTTCAACATATACACACTGAATCTTGAATGCTTCAGCTACTGGTAGGTATTCATCACTTACTGTTACTCATACATGTTTTATCATAATTTTAAATTTACGATACATGGAGAGATTAAGAAATATATAGAAATGGACGGTACCTTTCACACATGAGACGACGGAGCATAATATGAATAAGTGTGGGTATTAATATATTATCAGTGCAACTGTGTCCATGTCGTGGTAGTGGTGGGTGGTGTGAGGTAGTGGTGGCTGGTAGTCATGGGAGTGTGGTGGTGGTGGCTGGTGGTTAAGGGAGTTTGGTGGTGGTGTGAGGTAGTGGTGACTGGTGGTCACGGGAATGTAGTGGACCCTGGTGGTGTGAGGTAGTTCTTAAAGGGAAAATTGTCTTGATATTTGCAGTTTCATTAATCGCGGTGACCTTTAGGAATGCATCCCTTGCGATAATTGGGGTATTCATGTAATCACTTTTTACTTCTTAACACTGTATTCTTGATTGATTGTGTCCTGGTACAGTACTGCAGAACACATAAACAGCAGCCAGCAAGGGGTCATCCTTATACAATGAACTAAGTGCAGCCTGATACAAGGCTTAAAGGGGATAAACTGGAAGATGCATCAGCCTATCACGGGCATCCCATGTAGTCACATGACAATATTAGCCAATTTACTTGAGGGTTTTCCTGCCCACGCAGCTGGTACATGGTGACACAGTAGAGCATGATGCAATTTTTTCGGAACTCCCAGAACATTTATTTACCGATCTGGAATTGAGAGATTTTTTCCAGAAAAATTCCAGCTGTTGGAGAGTTCCAGCTAACAGGCTTTTGTAATGACTCTAGTTGTGGCTAACTTCTAATCAATATTTTGCAGATGATCACACGTGAGATGTTTGAAGATGCCCTCCGTGATCTACAAGATGATGAGTTCCTCACTGTCACTGGCAAGTCCACCATTCGTATCATTCACTGATAACTCAAGAAATGTACGCATTTATAAACTCCAGCCTTCTTCAGTAAATGAGTATAGTGTTTGATGAGGTTACCAATGGTGCACTAGCTTCCTGTCAAGGGAAAGGGATAACTCACTAGCTGCTGAAGGCTACCTGCAGCACCAAAACAGGAAGGGGCTTGTATGAATACTGTAAAAATAAATGTATATTGATGAAAATTACTTGAGCACTTTATATACTAATGGAATTTGAAGTTTTTTTTTTCTCTCACTCCATAAGTTGCTTTGTGGTTTTATACCTTTCGTCACAATATATTGAATGAAAATTATAGACAATTATGGTAATATTTTTGTATAGACTATTGATAAATAAAATTTTGAAAATGGACTCTTTATTAGTACCCCATAAAAGTTTCACATGGAATATTCTCTTAAGATGGTAAACTTTCTCTGCGTGTTGAATGTGCTGGCAGAGTATTCTCAGTGGTGTAGAAGTGAGAGAGATTTCTTACAAGGTACAAAGAATATGTTGTGTTGAGGTGTGATGGTCAATGTGTATTGGTCAGTGCTTAGTGTGCAGTGGTCATTATCTAGTGTGTGGGGGTAATTGTCTCGTGTGTGTGTGGTGGTAATTATCTAGTGCAGTGGTCCCCAACCTGTAGTTCTGAACCATAGTATGGTGCCCTCAAGGGTTTGTTAGAAAATTGTGAATTACTTGGGAATCTTTGTTAGAGTGAGATTAATGAAAATAAGTAATAACTTGATACAAATGTCGTGTACAGGAACTGTGTATTTACCCCAGACCGGGCCCAGAGAGAGAGCCAGCCTTCTCAATGGGGTAAATACACACACGCCCTGTCCAAGAGTACATGTAAAACGTATGTAACTGGTAACAGTTAGACGTGTAAAACTGCAAATAACTGTACAGTATACGAGATGTTTGTTTCTTGAATGTAGATCCAAAGTTTAGGCACCCTCCACTATGGTTTCAATGATACATGTGGCCCAGAGACTACACAGGGTTGGAAACTACTGATCAAATGTGTGTGGTTATTGTCTGTGTTTGTGTGTGTTTTTGTGTAGCGACCCGTGGTGTAATGGCCATGCTTGCCTCGCAAGCAAGCTGACCAAGATTCGATCCCCGGGCGGGGTGAAACTGTGGGTAAGTTTCTTTACGCCATTTGTCTCTGTCTACCCAGCAGTAATTGGGAACCTGGATGTTAATCGATTTGTTCCGGGGTAATGGTTAGCCAGTGCAGTTGGCGATTTGTCCGGTCTTCTCGGACTATTCCTTGACACTGGGTCATGCAGCTCGTTAACTCGGGGTGTGGTTGTTGAGTTGGCGACAGCTTCTATGCCTTAAACAAATTCACGCCTAGGTGGCCCTTGGGACCAGCCATCCTCGTAACACAAGGGGCAACCATTGCAATAATAAACAAGAAAATAATAATTGACCGCTTATTGAAAAAGCATGGCAACTGTAAGACGTTTATGCATTAGGAACATCTTTCTTTATCTATCCTCTACCTCGGGCTCAAACCCAGGAAGTACTAGACAGTGGTACACACTATCTGCTACAGTATACCATTTAAAATGTTATTTTAGGATTAATATGATGCTGAATTCTGTCTAACAACCTCAGCAATTATTAAATTGGTCTTGACAATCGTTTCAGAATCATTAATAGAACAATCAGCTGTTACTGCACATATCCTTGATATAATTCCAACAAATATTGTTTTATCTAAAATCCTCAGCCATGACACATTCTTATCTTATCCTCTTTGAGCTTTACAGTAAGGGAAGTGGAAGGCAGTAGAGAAGTGCTGTCTATAATGACCAGAATCTATACAAGTATGAATAACTGCACCAGGACTGCACTCTAGCGAAGCTGCAATCCTGCCAGAGCTCACCGGAGCGCTGCTCCGGCACCTCTGTTTTGATCAATCAATCAATATCCCTCCCGGGAACTCCCCAACAGGGGGTGGCCATGGCAGAAGTGTCTCCAAGCCATTTTATCCTTGCACACCTCACTTGCTCTCTCAAACACTCTTCCTCCCCTTCCTGCTCTCTTCAACAATCTCTGTAACTCTTTTCTCCCAGGTGGTAATTGGTCTACCCCTCCCAACATTCCCCTCTCTCTTGCTATTATAAACTTTTTTGTCAGCCTATCTTCATGCATCCTCCGCACATGTCCACACCACCTTAGTGTATTCCCCTTCATCCACTCCACCACACCACACTTCATACATAAAGTTACAGTAAGCTCTATATGTTACTATAAATCTATATCAAACAAGCAATCAACTGATTACTGCCTATAGCCTTCACCACGGCCTTCTTAACACGATAATCACTGCCTGGCCGATGAGTGTTATTTTTCAGGTAGTATTTAACATACTCCATGTACTCAGAATTTTTTCAAAGTTCTCACTCTGCATTTCCTGGCCTATCAGAGTCGCCATATCCACTTACCTATCGCCACAGCACAACTGGTCCGCCGTAGGGTGAGGCTGGGTTACGTCACTGTTTGTGAATGTGACGTCATCAACCGTGCATGCGCAGTTATCGTTTCGGCTACTTCTGGTCCGCTACACCGGATCATGTAACAGCAACTATATTGTTGTTTTATATAAAAGACTGATATTATAATTAAATTGAATAGTTAATATAATAATAATTAAGCTATATTATTATTTCAAGTGTAGGACTCTTAATAAACCTGAAAATATTACTTATTCAAAGTAAAAGTAAAAATAGTACAAGCAGTATGTAACTCGACCATGACGACAAGCTACTCTGTTCCCTGTTATCTGATGATCATGGTACACAACAGGTATAAATTGTAATAGCAAGAAAGCATGTTTTGGTCGGCATTATAAAATACCTGGAAAATGCCAGGTATAAAAATGTTTATTATTTATTACAACAACCATGAGATGTACTGAGGGGATAGATATAACAATAAACTTAAGCAATTATATGATAAGCAAGTAATCTCCATGAAACATTATATTGGTTAAAATAAAACAAATTTTTTTTTTAATCGAATTGTTTATTAAGGTACAGTTAAGTTCTGCTGTTAACTGGGAGTAGGAAACTGTTTATCAGACAGTTATTGTCAACAATTTGATGAAGAATAGACTGCGGGGAAAGGCATAAAGATGTCACGAAAAAAAATAGTAGTTTTAATTTTGCTTATCAAGTAAATATCATTAAACTTGATATTATAATGAGTGATGGAGCTATCCACAGTTAAACTCAAAGGTATAAATACCGAGATCCCACAGTTGTCATTATTTTTTTCGTTTGAATAAAAAACTTATCCACGTTCCTGTAAAAGTTTGTAAAGTGCAAGTTTTGGAGCCTTTGATACGGCTCAGCCTGCCCTCATTTTAGCTAAACTTGCGCGATTTGGGGTTAAAGGGAGACTTCTACAATGGATCGCCTCTTACCTCACTGGACGTCAGGCCCGGGTTCGCGTTGAAGGCTCTATATCTTCTGTTCAAGAAATGAACCTCGGCACCCCTCAAGGTGGAGTCCTGAGTCCCACCTTGTTTAACACTCTCATGCACTCCATTGCATCTCTCCCGTGGCCGACAGAAGTTGTTCACTCAGGATATGCCGACGATGTCCTCCTCCAAGCCCCTGACTACCTCAGCATGCAGGAAGCCCTTGATCTGGTCTCCAGAGAGTGTGATTCACTTGGTTTCCTTCTTTCAACTGCGAAAACAAAAGCCATGTGGCACGGTCGTTTTGTACCTCCACCCCTTCTCTTATCAAGAACGCCCTTGGACTGGGTTAATGAGACAAAATACCTGGGTGTGTGTGTAACTCGCACACGTTGTCAGATCCCTGAAGTCTGCTATCTTCGAGACATGTGCTTTCGGCATCTCGCTCCCCTCTCTACCATGTGCAGGGGTTCCCTTGGTGCCACCATCCCTGTACTTCTCACCATGTACGAGTCCTTTGTCCATTCCTGTGTCGACTACGCCGCCCCTGCCCTCGTCAACATTAGTCGGACTGTTGTCAACCGTCTCGAAGTTATCCAGAGGAAAGCTGCTCGTATCATCCTTGGGGCTCCTCAGTGGACACGCTCTACTTCTCTATATGCCGAACTTGGTCTTTCCCCCTTACAGGATCGTGTCCAGGAGTTTTACCTAAAAACTGCCGTTTCCATTCGACGGGATCCTCAGGGCAATTATGTCCAAGCCAACTTGACTCCTGCTGTCCAAGGCCGACCTCAGATTACAGATTGCCCAGGAGGGGCTAGTTTATTGGGCACCCCCTTACATCCTGTGCAAGGTGAAGCGCAGAAGCGTTTACAGTGCCCAACTGGGAAGCATGCGGAGTTCATGCTTGCCCTTATGACCCATGCATTAAGGGCGTAAAAGGCCTGAAGGGTCATGGGTTTTGTCAGCAAGTTACATAAAGTGACAATGATGAGTGTGTGGGGGGAAAATTCCCGGTACAATTTATCTGTTTATGGCAAAGTGTAGCAGGTCCCTAATAATGTCAAGTGCCAGGCCTGTCACTAGGAGGACGGATATCTGGTCAGGGAGGGAAGAGGTGCCACCCCTGTAGGGGGAGGTCATAGGGCAGATGAGGATGTGGTGAAAGAGGGTGTGAGAGTCTGTTGACCACAAAGTTTACAAACAGTGCGGCCAGGCTCAGGGTTGCCAATGTACTAGGCGTGGCGAAGTACAGTGGGGGTGGAGGTGATATGGTGTGGTGGGGCAGGTACAGTAGGGGTGGAGGGAGGCACATAGGCATTGACAACATTGAGGGACACACCTTTTAGTGTGATTGTGAAGGTGTGTTCGTCGACATGTCGGTGGGGTACAGGTAGCCGGGGGTGGTGTCCTCAGGTCCAGGTAGCCCTGGTGGAGACAGCTCAGACACGGGCGCGGCTTGCGGTGGGTGGTGGACAGGTTGAGGCACCAAGTGTTGTGAGGATGGGGCAGGACTTCGCTCGGGGGCAGCAGGACACACCAGGGCAGACCCGGTAGGCACTACACCAGTAGTGAAGGCCGCCGGCGGTGGAGTAGGCCGTGAGCAGGGGGGGGCTCACAGGGGGACCAACAGCTTGTGTCAAACCAGCAGAGAGGAGTGACTGGGTGGCAACAGAGGGCAGGAGTAGGTGGGAGATGGTGGTACAGAGTGTAGCGAAGAGTTTTTCAATACGGTTGGTAAATTCTTGGAAGAGGGATATGATCTGTGTCATGTCACTGGCGGGGGGTTGTGGGGGGGCACCGGTGGGAGCGCAAGGCCTGACAGCCTCAGAGTAGAGACGGGGAGGAGGCCCAGTAGTAGTTGAGTTAGGAGACGGCCGGGACTGCTGTGTTGTAGCCAGATGAGGCCAGGCAGAGGCAGGTGTTGTTGAAGA